GGAACAATTTTCTCTGCTCTCAAACAGGAGTGGGCAAATCTTGAACAGGATGTAATCGACCATGCTTTGGAGAATTGGCCAAAGCGTTGTAGATTAATTTACTATGGTCATGAATCACATATCGAACATCTATTACAATAAATGTATGAAAATAAAAGAATAAAAACTTTTCTATTTTGTTTCAAAATAAACTGAATGGCCTGTATTCTTCTCTCTTGAAAATGACCTTGAGAAGATCTGAGTTCATTAGAATCTATGGCTTATTTTGTTTTCTTGACAAAGATTACGTCGGGTGATTGCACAATAAATTCTATATGTACAAAACAAACAAAAGTGACTTTAAGGCAAAGTAAAAATGATCATAATGGATAAATTAGTCTTTCAGACGAAAAAAAAAACTTTTCAGCAACGACAAAAAAGAGCCAGTTCAAACTGTTCGATACTTGAACATACTTCATCTTTGCCGTCCTTTTGTTGATGAGATTGAGCGAAGAATATATGTTGACCATTGTCCCATTGAAGATCAATCATTTGTTGATGATTACCATTCAATTCTTCATTCTAGATAGAAATTCAGTTCGAACTTCATAAGAAAAACCCTCATCAAAATGGTGATTTAGTGAACGATATTAATTTTCAGTGAATAAAAAGTTGCCCGAGAGTTTTGTGAGAGCAGAGAAAATTGTTCCTGTTTGAATCGATCAAAGAGCAAGAGAATAGATTACCTTATAATGCCAAGTCATTTTGATAGTTCGACTTTGTTGAGAGAATGAACCATTCAATGTGAACTGATCCACATGATCTTCTCCGAAACCTCGGAATGTTTCGGTTTTCAAATCGAAAAGGAGCTCAATATATGATGGCGTTTGCCATGCATTATTTAGACCACGTTGATACTTCCAAATGCCGGATTCAAATATGTTTTCTGATTTCTCTGTACATGCTTCATTTTGATGATCAGTCACCTACAATAGATCGAATTCATATTCCATATTAAGAGCAAAACGTTTCTTCTTCTTACCATTAGACTCTCTTCGAATGGTGGCAATAGTGGATAGCATCTCACATGGTGATTGTGGTCGGTAGATTGTGCGTATTGTTGTGAATCTGTTAAATCCAATAATCGATCATGCTCATCTTGTTTTTTATTCACAAGTATAGACATTAAACCAATGCCTAAAGTCAAATCGACGACATGTTGAGTCAATTCATTATGAAATTCTGTAAATTGTAGAAGATAGTCTTTGTTATGAAATAAACGCTTGAAAAAACTAGCATTGGTAAATATTTCAATAAATTGCAGACTTTTTTGGAGAAAAGTGATAAAATTGTGTAAAGCAGTTTTCATCGATTCACTTAATGCATCATCAAATTTTCGCTCACGTAGAAATCCAGTAAGAATATCGATTCGTTCACTTAATCGTAGACATTGATGTCTGTTAGCTTTTGTTCGCTTGACTGTTTCTCGTATTTCTTTACCAATCTTGAATATCGTCTCGAGAAGAATAGGTATACTTTTTAAAGCGATTGAAAACATGAATGTTGTTGAATCGGCAACGGTGTTAGCAAGAATATTCATTTTACTTTGTTTGAAATGAATAATGCATGTAAAAGTACGATATTTATGTACAATCAATCTATAGAATAAATTATATTTGGATTTTTCCTCATGAAACAAAAGCCTCCACCACTCAACATAACATACAGGTATCAATTAATGACTACGAACAGAACCATGAAATATGCGTCATCGGTCGCGCTGCATCATGCCAACAGAAACGTCTCATCTATACAGAGTACCCTATAAGTCTCGATGCATGGAAAGGAAGAAAAACTGTTGCAATTACATTCGTATACATTGAGTCATATTTTTGTTGTATCGTGCACTGATGCTTGTTATTTCGAAGAAACATTTATCAAATAAGGAGTAGATCAGAAAAAAGAACAGTGAAAGTAATAACTCATTGTTTCTTCCAGTTTTTAAGATTTCCGACTACATTTTCTTGTTAAAAGATTTGTTGCTGAAACCTCTGCGAAATAATAAACAAGACTATCTCTACAGTCGCTACAGTAAACTCCACTACATATTTTTATTTACAATTTGCAAATCAGCTCACATGAAATGATGAGAAAATTAGTCATATGAAGGGTGCGATTATAACTTAGTAAAACATTCATATAGTGAACAATAAGACAAAGAACCAATCGCCATAAGTTCTAGTATCTACAATACTAATCTTTAATACTCCGTTAGTCATTGGAGTAATCATTTATTGATTAGTTATAGAAACTAAATGATATACAAAGTAGAATTTCAAAACTTCATGAAATATCGATAACGAAAAGAAAAAAGACTTCATTAGTTCGTTTCATCTCCTAAATAGCGAGCTTATAAAATTCATAATTTTGAGAAAATGTTAAAAAATCATTCTTAGGTTTTAGATCAAATATTCTCTTCCTAAAATCAGTAAAGGTCTGTGAAGCTTGTCGTATAATATACATCGAGGATAAGATCTACTAATGAGTTCGGTGTCTTTCGAATGTTTCACGACATCTTGGCTAATATTACACACAATCGAACTTGATAATGAATTATATCTTTTGTAAACATAGTCACATGAGAAATGGAAAAAATTTGTCTAATTGATCAAATGTCCTCGGTAGTTAGACTATGACAAAAGTGCTTATTTAAAACCGTGTTTCAAAATTAGATTTCATGTATTTAGTTCTTGCTTTTTCATATTATTCCAGTGCAATAGGTTAGATACTGGTTTTGTCTAATCAATACTATTATGAAAGATAAAAGTGAGAACTTTTAGACTAACCAAATCGTTCTGTACACAAAGAACAAGACATCCAGTGTATGTCTGCACATCATTTGTATGTTAAAGAGAAGATAATATTCTATTTGTAACGTTATTTGATTAGTGACTCTTCTGGAACCGTTATATGATTTATAAGCATGAAAATTGTTTGCATGATACTTCCGAATGAATTGTAAGAGATTTTTTTTCTTGGAAAAATATCATTTCAACTTCATTTGCTAGACTTTACGAAATACACTTAGAACAAAAAATATCTCCCCGTATAAATATTTTCGGTTTGACCATTGTTGATGGAAGAGATAAAAAGAAGAGAAAGTATGTGGTTACTTTTGACTCTTGTACCGTCTTATCTAGAAGAAGAAAGCATTCAGAGATGTTGAATTGTGTAGATATTTTACCGTACTCATCATAGAATATCTGTATTGAAATTTTCCAAAATTTTATTACTTTCGCTCTTAAAAAAACCTGAAAGAATAGTGCTTGCAAGCCTAAAATTATAGATCAGGATGTGAGTGAGAATAACGAGAGACGATCCATACTCACACCTTAGATGTGACAAATGTCTGATCCCAATCGTTAGATAATTATTAGCAACAGGCTTGGTCTTTAAGCGACTAATGTAAGTACAAGAATTAGACAGATAGTACATTGCTACATGTTCAGGAATCATGATCATGATCATCATTATCATATAAGATGCAATAAAAGTCGACAAAGTTGACCATACGATAGAAAATAGGCGTTATTGCATAGTGGTTGCGCAATTATTGCCACAGTGATGTGCGACGTGGCAAAAACAACACGCATTTCTAACGAATGAATCACTGACTCTCAAAGAACATGCCATTACTGTCACATGCACATACAAATATTCAAATGTATATATTTATATATGTGCATAGACTGACATTAAAAAAGAATATACAGCGTATACACAAATGGGTCCATCGTTCAACAAGATTGCATCCTACTTTCCCAGAAAAGAGGAGATTCGTGTACTTATGTTGGGTCTCGACGCAGCTGGTAAATCTATTTTCATGTTTCTATTGCCGACTATTTATATCACATGATTACGCTTTTCCCAATTCAGGTAAAACTACTGCTCTCTATGTCATGAAACTAGGTGAAGTCGTGACAACGATTCCTACAATCGGTTTTAATCTTGAAACAGTTGAATTTAAAAATATTACAATGACAGCTTGGGATGTGGGTGGCCGTGACAAAATTCGACCCCTATGGCGACACTACTATCAAAATACCGGTGCTGTCGTTTTTGTGGTTGATTCAAATGATCGAGATCGAGTGAATGATGCATCACAAGAACTGCAATTGATAGTCAATGAGGATCAACTTCGAAACAAACCCGTTCTCATCTTGGCTAATAAACAGGACCTACCGAATGCGATGTCAATTGATGAATTACGCGATAAACTTGCCTTGGACAAAATAATTGGTGACAGGAAATGGCATATACAAGCAACAGTTGTCACAAAAAATCAAGGTCTTCGAGAAGGCTTTGAATGGCTAGCAGGCGCATTAGTGGCCAATAATGCTGATATTTTGCAACCACTGATAGAAACAGCAAATGATTCGAATGTAATGAAAGACAATATTCTCTCCATACTTCGTCCGATCAATTGAAAGTCAATTCTTGCTAAATTCTTCCAACATTGAAGATGTGGTTATATTCGATCCACTCGAACTGCATTGTTTTCATATATGTATAAAAGTTTATCTTGTCCCGTATTAGTTTTATACCTATAATTCCTACGAAGCATAAAAAATCTTTTCCAGGATTGACGAATTTTCTTGCGGTTTATACTGATCTTTCGTATATTAATAGTCATCTTGAATACTGGTATGAGGTGTAAAACATGTATGTAATTTAGTTAAACATCAGCAATCTGAATTTATGTACTGAACAAGTCCTTAATTAATGGCAGAAACGAGAGAAGGAAATTTCTTGTGAAAAACATCAAACAAATATATCTTTATTTCGTAGCGTCTTATAATTTTTTCTTGATCAGAATGAATATTTCGTTTCTACGATTGTTTTTTATTGCTTAAAATATAGTTTTTCTTGAAAGATTGCGATGTGAATGTGAATTTCTATTTATTTGACACCCACGTCAACTGGAAAGAATATAAGTGGAAGTGATGATAGTCTAGCTTGTATGATTGTTAGGTTTATAATAGCCTCACGCCAATGCCAATTAAACGAATCGTTGTAAAGTTCTTTAGGAAGTAAAATAAATTTTTGAAATGAATCTTTGAAAAGGCAAATTGCTTCATTTCTTGAAACTCCACTATGCACTGGCAGGTTCGTCATGAGATTCGATAATAACTTTTTTGTACAATATGGTAGATTTGCAGCGACAGCATAGGTGACATTCAAAGTAGCTGGAATTACAATTAGTAAAAATGCATAAATCTTCGACAGCAATTTTTTGTCTTGGAATCGAATCGTTCGGCGCGGATTCTGTGAGGAGCAGAACTCTACCGAATGCTGTTCATGAAACTCGACTACGTAGTATATTAGATTTCTCAGAGAGGAAGTCACGAAAAACTAGACCTTAAACATCTGCTAATGCTGCCTCAAAGGTATGGATGTGAATGTGAGGGTCAGTGTTTGAACTTGTCTTCAACTTACATCCGTACCCAAACTTCTGTTCGTGATCCTCACTTTCTAGAAATGCTTCAGGTATTGTTAGAAAGCAGAGAGAATGGTAAATACTTCTTGAGATATTTAGAAATAGTCATATTTTTCGATAACATGAGCTGAATCGGTTTAAAATGAAAAGAGTAAAGTTGAGTTCACGAGAAGATGGTTAATTCTCATTATTTTGCAATAGGAGTGTTGCCTTTCTAGTACCAGACAGAAAGACAAATCCTGGGACAAAAGTTAGTTGCGATATATTTTCCTTCTAAACGTAATCTATGTGTGAGTCTTCCAACGCTGATCAGCACATGTGACAGACAACATCTTGAAACAGAAGTCATCTTTACTTTGAAGCGACACATTGCGCTTCCAAATGTGAACATTAACCCTTATTTAACTGAATCAGATCGTGTTTTTCTTTTGTCATTTGCCTTTGATTCAAATTCTACTGTAATATGCTGCTTCAAGTGGCAAATTTTGTAACATCTCGAGTAACCCATTAAATTATCAACATATCTATACAACGCTTCTTTCAATATCTCAACAAAAATGTAAATAGTATAATTTATCAGTGGACACATATGCTAGTGTTCTTTAATTGCAATATCAACTGTAAACAAATGGAATCTTGAAAATATTTGAAAATGAATATCTTATATTTGTACTTGATTCAATTGAACAATTTGCAATGGATGCATACGATTTTCAATGGTTAATGAAATGTTTTCCGATAAATATGACACGTAATGTTTCAATTTTACCTTAACATGGTGATATAATTGTTTATAATCGATTGTCAATTGAAACTGTACAACACCTATGTATTTGGGTTTCCCCATTCGAACTATCAATAGTAGAAATTATCTAAAGTGGTTGGCTTCAACTTAAACAAGTTTCATTCCTTCGTCAACGGATTAAAGAACGCACTGAGATAGTTTCTCTCTTAATGAAACTTATTTTTGATATTCTACATACATAATATTCATATGATACGATTGATGATTAACTGAAAACATGTCGTGCTGTCGATGATTATATTCGATATCTATTTAATCATCTACAAAACAAAATATGATAGTATTTTGTTTCGTCATGTACTCTGTTATATGACAGCTTGTCGTAATAGTGCTAGTAAAAACGAATTAGGAGACATACTCTCACTCAGCAATGATATTCTCAAAAATGTTTTTGATTTCAATTGAGACGTTTAACGATTAAAATCAAATTGCCTCTGAGGTAATCAAGAATAATCAGTATAGTAGATTGCTTTTTCAATCGACTTTAATCGGGTTATCTTGCAAAATGCAGAGATTTCATTTATCATTCATCACTGCGTTAATTGCCACCACTTTTGATACTTTTTCAAAGCCCAAAACGTGAAAGATTTGAAAAAGTACAATAAAATTTGAACAGAAACGGACGATAGACGACAGAAGTTCTCATTTAAAATTGGAACATCGCAACGAAAAATCTACCAAACAAAATAGGACTTCGAACATCATCGATTCGTCCGGAAACAAATGTCCGAGAAACAAAGTCCGACATATATAAAAGAAAATATTGTTCCCACTTGTCTTTGTGATTCCCTCATAATGAAAGTAGTTCAAAGCAAAATTCGAGAAAATGGGTTTTACTACGTCTTTTGGATATTCGAGCAATAGAATAAAGATTTGCTCTAAACTACCTAAAATTGTCTCAACAATGATCGATGCTTTTTATCTATCTTGTACCATATGACAGAGAGTTGAGTCATTCAATATCAATAAGAGCGAAGTTCAGTGTCAAGGAATTGAACTAATCGCTATAAAATTATATTTTGATGCGTAGAGCAAGAACAGCTCAACTCTCACTGTAAAAACTAAAATCGAATCAGCGTGTAAAATAATCAGTTCATCTCTTCAGAGAATATACACAAAGCAAACTTGATCATGTTTTCCATCATCATGTCTATAAATCAAGAAAGCAATATTGTTCTCATATTCCAGATTGGCTCATTGTTTACTTCTGCAAAATAGCATTGATATTTCCATCAACAAGTTCAATAATTGCTCGAAAAAAGGTAGTCAAGTGTATTTTCAAGTTCAGAAAGAGACAAAAAATGTATTCTCAATATTAATCGAACTGCTAGACACAGAATAAACAGAAGTGTGGCATTTAGTTTTGATTTTGCACATCCACAATCTATCAAGATGTTGCAGATGTACCAACATATTGAGTTGAAGGAGCAGGATCTTGTTGTAGAAAATGCGATTCTCATATAGCACAAATTGAATTTTGTCGAACTGCTGCATTCGGAAGATACACAATGACAAACCAACATAATAAGAAATAAACGAGACCGAATCGAACTATATTTTTGCCGATCAACAATATTCCAAGATACTCTATACGTTGCTTGTGGACAAACTAAGAATTTCTAGAATGAATTATAGTTACCTATGCATGCGATAGCTTTCACAGTCAGCTAAGCCACAAGAATTGTGAAGGAACTACTGATTGGAAAACATTCATCTAGCTCTCCATTGCCTATGCAAAAAACTAATTAATAATGAATTATAAGGAACAATTCTTCGAAAGAATCACACTTATGCTTTATTTATCGACCGATTAATATCGTTTTTGGCGTCTTTTCGATCCTGATCAGTATCTTCCAAACACGTTAGTTATAGTTCAATTGATAAATTTCTGAGAAAATTCCGTTGATGACATTCGATGATTATTAGCCTTATATTAATCGAATATTATTTGATGAGGAAAAGCAAATGTTGTTATCTGTTAATTTATTATATTTCTACAGAAACTCAGGAATGATAGAAAGGATCAAACTCGTATCTATAGCTGAGAGTATCTGTTAGAAATTTTTTTAAATTACCACTGATTGCATATTTGACCTTTGAAAGATCGTTGCTATCTTCATCGTTTCATGCTTCTAAACAAAGATCATCGACTCTATAAAGTGGCAAAATAGCCAAGATGTTTCACAAGTCGCAAAGTGCTGCATCTTTTGATCATTTAAATCAAATGGCTTCATCTGTTTCTTCCTTTTGTAGATGTCAAATACTGTCAGGGATGACTTTATGTGATCTGGTGTAGATCTTCTCTTCACTCACAGTCACACTCCAGCTTTTACTCTGAATCAAGTCTTTCCCAAAATTTACAACTGTGGTAACATATATTCATGTGATAAATTTGATACTTATTTGTTCGAATTGTGTTGCAATATATAAAAAAACTATTGTAGACTCCTTTTGTAAACGCCTGTTTAGTTATGACCAGTAGACGGCTCAGAATAGGAAGATGTTTCTAATGCAAAATTGATATATTAAACTTCTGTATACTTCATCGAATAAGCATTTCATAAAGAAAATAGTTGTATTTTTGTGTGATATTTGGCGAATGACGTATGTCGAATCATTATTTCAAACAGATTAATAAGCGTATGCTTTCGAAAGCCCTAATAGAATATTACTCTTACTTTTATCTTACATTTATTCATTTCGATTGCCTCAAAGAATTCAAACAAACAGGCATATATATCAGCTTTTTACAAAGCATTTTCTTTCACATGCTCTCTCATTATCGATAAGTGTTGACATAAGCTTCGATGATGTAAACCAACTATGTATGATTCATCAATAGCACCATCATAAAAAAGCAACTTTGTTATCTCTTATGTGTACATTCTAATCAATCGCGTTCGACGTAAGCTCGATGTCAGCTGATACTTCGATTGTCTGGATTTTAGTGTTGACGATTAATATTATTCCTTATGTGCACAATTTTGGTCACAATTATGTTGTCAAGAAAGATTTCTTTACAGGAGGTATATCACGTGAATTTTCAGTCTATGATATAACTGAAAAGCACCTAAAATATCGTATCGAATCTCGATTTTCTTTCCGACATAATAATGAAATAGTGGTTTATCCATCGAAACAAGTTGTCGGTAAATTAACTGGTCGATGGTCAATGTGGAAATATGCTGCTTACATTTCGCTTCTTGATCTTTCATCGAATCAATGGATCAGTGGAAATATTACAGAAACATCCACTTTGCGAATGACAGAATTCACTATACATTGGAACGGTACATATATAATATTGAAAAGTGATTTGGATATTCTTCCTAGCACATTTTATGAAAAAGGTCGAGGCAACCTCTTAGCTCAATTCAAACAACGACCTGCATCAAGGTTGTGGGTGGCAAAATACGATATTGGCATATTCTCGATTAAGTTTCCAGAAGCATTGTACCTTCTCGCATTAGCTGTTCAAGAGCTCAAATCGATATCACGAAGGGGCAAAAAATAAAAGAACTTGCTACTGATCAAACTCAAGCAAATGAACTGATTTATTTATTTTAATCTGCATTATTCTGTTCTTTTAAACCTTTAGCATTCATATTGGTCTCAGACGAGGTAGAGACAATATGAGTATTGCAAAAAATACTAATATTCTCAATATATCTATAAAATCAAAACATTGCCAAAACTCTTTGTCTTGGGCGTAGAGTACTTTGATCATTTCATTGACCATTGGAGAGTAGCGAGATAAAAAATCGATCTTTGAATTCATCTTCTTCTGTTTGCTTGATAATGAAAAAAGCGATTTTTTCCTTTTGTTTAGTAAGTATTAACAAAAACAAAACATTAAGATAAATGCTTCAACACGGTTGTTTTAACTTCTATTATGAAAAGACATAAAACAGTCATATTTAGGTTTGATATATAAATGCATACGACATTTTTTAGCACATCCATTGTGTTCGTTGTTTAGAATTTTCATATCTCTGATGTAAAGGATATTTCACTGATTGAAATACTGGCTAATCTTTAAAACCATCATATCTTGAAGTGTTTGTAAGTGCTAATCTTGATTCACGTTTTGATCTTTTTGTTGTTATAAAGTATGACACTGATTTCTATTATTTGATTGATTTGAGTAATTATCACCTTGTACAGATGTTATTATAGATTTTGCGAGAGATAAAGGTGTCTGTAACACTATTCCAACAATATGAAGTTTAAGTTGCAAAAATACGTTTCTATCTCTTATTACCATCATCAACAAGTATGTGTCGTTATAATAGCCAAACCTTCAACACCATAAGATTGCATACACGCCACATAACTCGAAAATACTACTTTTTTTATCGAAATAATATAGGATGTAAAGTAATTAGCATATCAAGGGTGTCAATAATTTTCATATATTTATTGTAAATTTTGATAAATGAAGCTGCTAGTACGTTTACTTTCTTTTTCTCAGTTTTACTTGATTTTGATAATTGTACGACAAAATTTATTCTCATACAATTCGATTCTATCAGAATCCCTTTTAGAATCTTTTCATGCGACTATCATAGATTTTTATCATTCGTTAGTCAATTATCGTCATAATCACGACTCTTCTTTTTTATAAATTCTTCTGGTGGTAATGGATAGTCACCGATTCAATTGGTTTTCAACGTAACTATAATTTCATAACCCAATTCACTTATTTGTTTTTGATCAATGCCATAGATCCAAAATAATTATTCACAAAAATGTTTGTACCTTGTGAAACATTCTGATGCATCACAAAATATCAATCCTTATATCTCTTATATCTCTTTGATAAATGGGTTCTGAAGAGAATATCTTTTTTATCAGTTGATAGGAAATTTTTCCTCTTTTGAACAGTGCATAATGCATATTTCTCACATAATAGTGATTGAAACGAGACGAAGAAAAAAGAGAAACATTTGCGAAACAAATTTATAATTTTCACATGAATTCGTCAAAAATATCTTGCAGATAATAATTGATTACAAATGGCTGTCGTTTTACAAGATGTTTTTAACGAGTTCATAAAAGTCGGAGTAAACACTGTTTGAAAATAACTGTTAAATGGATCCATAAAGATTGCACTAAGTATCGTTTAACAAGACGTTTTCGATGAGTTCATATAAAAATTATTAATGTATTACGCGAATGTTTTCCTTTTTTTCTTATTGCATTTCATCCACAAATGTGCGACTAATATAAATCATACACTGTTCGAAAGAGGAGAAACATTCCTATCAATTGGTAACACAATATTTGTTCGCATGAGGTATCTGTCGAACAGTTATATGAAACAATATTTTGCATCATTTTTCTGAATCTGACGAAAACTGTGGATTCTTCTTAAGGGTCCATCTCTTTTCTGTTGCGTTCGTTCGTTTATGAGTGTGCTATAAGAGTCAATTGTATATGATTCGAAAAAAGGAAAAAATTCTCTATCTTCTCATAAAAAAAAACTTGCCGTCCAGCAACCTTCTATCGAAGAGAACTAGGTGCAGACATTTGTTCAGTTACTTTTGCATTATATGTTATTAATACACTAAAACTGATGCATAAATGAAACTAACATACAAAAATCGGCTCCGACACAGAAAAGTGTTGGGAAAATACTATTTTCATACACAAGCGACATCGCTCTATAAAATACAAAAATTAGCTTGCTCTTATTGTCAAATTTATTTTCATTGATCTTTTTTCCTCCAACAATATGATGAGTGTGCTCTTCTCTAACACATCCATAGTAACACCGACATTTTCCCGTAATGACTCAATTTTGCTCTCTTCGATTGCGACTATTATTTTGTCACGTAGTCTGACTAACACATGCAGCTCGAACGGTTCTGTTTCTTTCTTTTTTCCCCTATTTTACGTCAGTTTTCGAGAGGAGAAAAATATTGCACAGCGTTGAGTAATTGGTATATATACAACGCAAAAAGCACATCGGATTCATTACTATTAACTTACTATGACAGAAACAGCCGAAACACACACACCGGTTGCACCAATAACAATAGTAAAAAATCCTGTTGTTCGCTTCAATGTCGATCAACAATGTCCTATTCAGTATGTTACTGTCTACAACGATCGTGCAGAGGTAACACGACTTCTACGACATCATTTCGATGTCGAAGGTACCTATGACCTCGTACTGGATGATTTTTCTACATTTGTCGATGAAACATCGTTGCATGTCAGTGGTGGAACGGGGAAATCATGCACCATCCTTGAAGTTTCATATCAAACGCGACATGAAGATGTCACTCCGTTATCAGATGTGACACCTCTCGATCATCTTCAAAGGCAACTTGAAAGCGTGCAAACTAACATAGAGATACATAAGCGTGAACTAGCACGACTCACAAAACAACGAGAATGGCTCGATGGACGGTCGACCAAATTAATGAATCAAAATGGGCCATGTATGACCAGCGATATGGAGAATATGCAACAATTTCTCGAGTTCTACCACAAAACACTATTGAAACTCGACGATGAAACAGTTCGCGAAGAAGATGAAGTCAAGAAATTGAGTATTCGTCAAGACGCGTTGAAAGCTCAAATCAATGAACATGGGCTGCAGCTCAAGCGAATCGACGAAAGACATGTCGAGAAGTGACGATCACAGTTCATATCGCTAGTGGCAAAATTGATGTATCACTTGAAGTTTCGTATTTGATCGGCAATTGTTCTTGGAATGCCAGCTATGATGTTCGTGTCAGTAGTATCGAAGCAAATCGACAGCGAACACAGTTAACGTATTACGGAATTATTGTAAGTACTCGAATCTTCATTGAATTTCAATAGTGTTTCCTGGATCTTACTGATCTTTAGGTGAACAAAAGCCAAGAGAACTGGCTCGATGCGAATTTCTCGTTGTCTACTGCAACACCGTCTTTGGGTGGAACTCCACCGAAATTGAGTACACTCAAAATCGATTATTATAAAGCACCAGCCACTTATTCTAAGCGGATTCTTCGATCAGAATCCAGGAACCTGGATAATTATAATTCTTTAGAATGTCAACTTATGGCAGAGAGTGAGCCTATGAAGCGCTCAAAGGGTGCATTCAGGTCATTCCGTGGTAAGTCAACGCTCGCTTATGATCCAACTATTGAAGCTGAAGACAATGAATCGGCTGAGATGAAAGTCGATGTTCTCACCTCCAAAGCTGAAGCAAGCATGTCTAGTACTAGCTTTGTTATTCCTCGTCGATCAACTATTGATTCTAATGTCAGTATTCTATCCCGTGACGTTGAATATCTGCTTATTTTTTACCTTTCTAGGGGAAACCACACAAGGTTACAATTGATGTTCTAGACCTTACTTCAACATTCACATACACAGTAGTGCCAAAAATGTCACTTCATGCATATCTTAAAGCGTCGACGGTGAACACATCTGATAAGCAGCTTCTTGCTGGACCAGTATCTGTGTTTATGGACAATAATTTTGGTCACACACAGTTCGATCGACAATGTTTGTGTTGGTGACACATTCGATCTTCCATTGGGCACGGATGTCAGTGTCAAAGTGGAATACAAACCGGTAAAGAAGATGGTTGACACACAAGGTCTTATCTCGAAAGTACATCATGAGACGATTCGTCATGAGACAAAGATTGTGAATACGAAATCAACCGAGATTACAGTATTCATCTACGAACAAGTGCCTCTATCTTCGGATGAAAAGATCAAAATAAAGTTGATTACACCTGATCTACGCCAAAAGGATTACTCGCGCAACTGCTCAGTAACAATGAACGATAGGAATAATCTAGAATGAAAATGTGTATTGCAAGGACATGGAGAATATCGATTTCCATTAGAGTATACACTCGAGTGGCCAAAAGAAAAACGTGTAGAATTCAAAGAAGAGTAGCAGTGAACTGTTTAGATGATGTATTGTGATAGGACAGCATGCAGTTCTCGATTGATGTTGTAAACAAATTAATGCTTGAAATAAATCTCTTTAACACGGATATGTACTTTTCCGGTATTGAACAGAATCAGCGAATAGATCTGCGGGAGACAGTGGACTCAATTTACAGCAGCACTGATTTCAAGCAGTGTTTGGCATTGAAATCCATCGAATGATTGAATGTCGAAATCCGACATGCTCGAGTAGTTGTGTCTGTTCTGATAGAATCGTATTGACATCAGGTCATCGAATTGTTTCCATGGATGAGAAGGACTATGTATTTCTCAGCGGCTCGAAAGGTGATTTTGGAAGAAAGTGGCTGCGCAAAAAATTGCGAGAAAAAATATTTTATTGGCTGAAGATTTGATCTCAGAAGCCTTTGAGTCATCAGGAAGCTGACTTACAGAGTATTGTTTCATATCGTTCTTGGGTGAGGATGTTGGTATGGTTTTCATTAAANATGAGCTCATTTGCTTGAGTAATGGAGACTCTAGAATATTGACAAGTTCGCAATAGTGGTCGATGCACCATTTCCGTTTAGTAAAGTGTTTTCTTCTGAAACTTTCAAAAAATAATGGCCACCTATGGGGGAAGATCTCTTAAAAATTTTAGATCGATTCATTAAACTTTTGCTGAGTTATTGACCTCTCAACGGCATGTAGAGCTACAAAATAAGCTATTGGTCGACTCAAAAGCTCTTTCTATTATCTAGTTAAGAAATTCACAATAGAGGTGAATGTTCCCTATTATAACTTCGTTCTAGCTTGAGCAATTTTGGCACTGCCGGTACCGCAGATCTACATTCTCTGTGGACCACCTACAGACCAATTTTCAGACGTTTAGCACTTATAGGAACTAAGATTCAAGTGGGGGGGGGGGGGATACTTTTATCGGGTACTGTATCAATATTGCAGAATGAAAACAGTTCTGAATTCAATTGTGTCATCATTTCCTGAAGAGATACGGAGACGATCTGTTTTCTGTTATATTTTATCTTAACACTAGTAATAAAGCATAACTTTATTATTATAATAAAAATAAAAATTGAATTTTTTCAACGAATCTTGTTCAACTAATTCAATGCTATTGGGATGAACAATCATATTGAATAATATCGAAACCCTGCATATTTTCTTGATCAAGATTCGTATGACTTCGTGTTTTTTTCCTTCAAAACTAAAATATCAACTGCATAGAATTGGATTGAACAAGGATGATACAATGTTATATGTGTCAGGAAAAGCTCTTAGTAACCTCACACAGTAAGATTCGAAAAAGTATTCAGAAGTTTGTTAAAAGATTCACCATCAACTGAAATTCTAAAACAAAGATAATAGAAAAATCAGTCAAACCTTCAGATGATAAACATTCTCAATATAATAATAAATAAATGTTAAATGGATTTTATTGACCCATATATGAACATATCCAAAGTCCGTGCCATGATAAATGTTCCATTCTGTATCAAAATAAGAACCATATGTCAAGCGATATCTCCTCATTTCAATTAAAACATATTTTTATTCCATCATCTACATATTTTAGTTGATGCATTAGATATGTTCATTCGTATAAATGAATGTGTTCACATAGATTAAGATCAACATGATATTCGTAGAGAGGAAGTTCTACATAGAGTTATAAGATTAATTAAATTAAATTTATCTCTACTAATAATGAATACGTAAGCCTATGTAATCCAACAATTAACTATGGAGTACGAATACGATCTACTGGATGAAGATCTTGTGCAAGCCATGTATATTGTGGAAAGTAATGACAAAAATATGTACAGTTGAATAATAACTTAAATGGATTGATCTAATATCGAAACTATACCAAAAAAAAGACTATTGTCATTGTTTGAAAAATAAAAATAATGAATGATGGAAACAGCGCATTCTCCATCAGAATCATAACTATAATTACCTCTAGATAATGAAAAATATTTTAATTCTAAGAAAAGATTTTCGATCCAAAAATGTCGATCAATATTATATTAAAATATCATCATGATAAATAAAGAAGGAAAACATGAACGATATGAATTATGAGTTTAATCAGATATTTACCTAATGGGTCTAAGTCCTCATTCTCCTACTATTTCACAAGGATCTTTATTTCCTTCAGTAACATAATCATATTTATGATTTCTCACCCGCACACTATGCCCTAAAAATACTTTTTTCTTAGTTCCATTTTTCTATCAGAATTAATTTCGATATAACTTCATGAAAACCTCTGGATCAAAGAATTTTAGTTTTGAAAAGTTGAACAAGCCGGCAGAAAAGAATAAAATTTAATGCTATTTGAAGTTCGGTAAGTTTATTCATTTCATGAAGACATGGGAAAATGCTTCAAACTAATAAAACTCAGCAATAAAGAGACAGATAGCTTTCGTCCATTCGATGAAACGTATATATATTCGAAATAGATAGCAAGTTGATGAGATGCATTAATTATCTTATAACCTTTCTTGTCTGAATCCGTGAGTTATGTAAGAAAAATTTATTAATTTCTATGAAAATAACAATATTTTTATGCAATTTAACTTTTCAGTGGTGTGCGTATCTGTTGATATTCATATACGTTTTGTCTATTTATTTATTTACACGGTAATGAAACAAAAAAGAAACAATGCAACAATGTCAATTACAATATTGTGCTAATCGGATCATTATATGTTGATGTTAATGATCTATGTATTTGTTGAGTATCACTCTTTCTTTCCAATGCTGATGTTAAACTTCGACCAATCAAACTTAAATATCGTCCACTCAATGCTACGAGATCTTGAGCCTATTTCGATATAGATAAATCGTTTGAGATTATTTTATTTTCAATAGAAAACTTACTCTATCAAGTTGACATTGAAGAATATGTGGTTGACTTAAACTACCATATTTTATATCAATTGTTGTTTGATGACGACGAATTGATACGATATTATCATATGGAATTGTAAACAAAGTTTCCTATAGTTATGTAACAAAAAAATTAAATTAAATTAAAAAGATAAATTTTACGAACTTACTCGAGTATCTAAATCAAGAAATAAAATGCCATTTTTATAAATACCAATTAAACATGGTGATCGAATTGATGGATTATCAACGGACTAAAAACAAAACAGAAAATATTAATTAGTCACAATTAAAAACAATTATAGACCTGAACAGTAAAAAATGTTGTACCAAATAATGGCCATGTTTTTATAAGATCTAAGCAAAGTATAATATATCCAAAAATAACTATAGATAAAATGATGATAATAATTACTTATAAATTTAATCTTAGCTTCAATAATTGACATTGATTCAACAAGTCCACAAAGTTTATCATGAATAGCTGCTGTCCATTCTTGAGGACGAACACTTTTTAATTTTAATACCGTTGCTGGAAGAAGATGTTTAACTTCTCTCCTAATAGAATAAGAATAAATATTAAATAGAAATCTTTTACATATTTACATACATAGATGGTAGACCAATTTTATTTGAAGCACGATATTGAAGAGCAGCCAGTAATGATATTTCTTGCTATAATAAATCATATGAAAATGTTTTGATTAGTTCAACAATATCTTTGTTGTTGTTTTTTTTTACCATAAGTTTATCCGAAAGATGATTATTATTTAGAATAATCATTGTTCCTTCAAGTAGTTCAGGTATAAGTTGATGATACATAAAATTAATGAACATTTCTGATTGATTATTATTATTAAATATGATTGGAATATTAAACCAAAGCATACGTTTAATAATGAAATGAAAATCAATTATATTTGCTCGAGCACATTCACTTATAATATCAAAAAGATATTCTGTTGAATTTAATAGACGAGATGAATGTTCTATTAAAAACAAATAAAGGTATTGAAATCATCTAAATTTTAAAGAATACAAAATGAAAATTTACCCGAAGTAATTATAATAAAAATCGAATATTCATCATTTTCTAATATATTTGATATGTTAAGACGTTCACATAGTAAATTAAGACAATCATCCATTACCTGTAAAAGAAAAATATCAGAAGTCATTTATAATAAATATATAAAAAAAAAAGAATTTACTCCATTCGTCTTCATATAGGTTTAAAAATATTTAGCCATTCTAACGGATGTGTCGAAAGTTTTTTGACCGATTAAGAGGATCAACAGAAAGCATTAGACACTTGGTTTGAGTCAGAATTTCGTTCTTTTTCTGACTATAGGTGTAGAATTTTTATGATACTCATGAGTCATGACTTCTGAGCAAATCTTTGAATGGCCTGAAAATAAACATTCAATTGATATGATTTCACTAACTGATATGGAGATGATGAATGGGATCGTATCCTATTGGAAATTGATTTCATGCTATTGTTCAATGACTTTTATCGTTACTTTCATAAAAACATTCATTTCGGTTCATTTCACTACATTTTCCTTGACTGCATCACGTTTTGAATCAGCGCATACATAATAGACTTTCTTCTGAACGATGATGTCCCTTATTACATCCATTATTTAGCGATTTCTTGTACAGCATAAATGTTAAGAGTCTACAAAGTCAGCTAGTAACTGAGAATCTCGCAGTTATCAGTCAGAAACTACCAAGTTCACTTTGTAAGTCTGGAAATGAAAGAATTGCGAACATGTCTTACAGAATAATGATAGTCAGAATATCTTTTTGTAGAGAAATGTTTGTTCTTTCTATCGGTGTTCAATAGTCTCTACTGACCGTTTTAATGAGTCGAAAAAAATGAAGGAGCATTTTGTCCAAAAACTTTCAATGCACACATTATTAGATTAACATTATCTATTAATCTTTTATATTCTATTCATTTGGCTTTGGGAAAATTCTTTTTGCTTTTATTTAACTTGTATTACAAAACCGTCTTCTTGTTAATTTTGGATGTATAGTCTATCTTTTTTTTCTTACCATCGATGGTGTTACCAATAGAGTCAAAGGAAATCCACCTGGTAATAAAAATGTCTGGTGTTTTCCTCCATTTTGACCATTCTAAAAAGAAATTCCAAAGAAAACTATTTTCTTAAAAGAAAAAGACAAAGTTTCATACAGCTGTTAAAAGACCTATTTCTGCTTTACTTGGTATATTTTTTCGTCCACCATATTTTAATGTTTGCTCATAATGATTTAAACATAATTGTACTATGAACAAAAAATTAATTAATTAATGAATTAATTAACAAAGTTTTACCTAATTTTTCATTTTTAATTCGATTATCATGAAGATATTTTATAAAATATGGTTGTAAATGTTCACTTGGAATAAAATAATTAAGTATAATTGCAAGTAATTTCCAACCACGTTGTACACTATCAATTTTTATACTTTTATTATCTGTTAATTGTTTTATAATTTGACATAAAATTTCATCAATTAACGTTCGATGTTTATGCATATTCTATGCATAAAAAAATACCTTATTAAATAAAAATGAATAGTTAAATTAATACTTTAAGTAGATAGATAAGACAATCAATATCAGTTTGACCTCGTGCCATAGTATGATCACCCATATAACGCATAATAGCTAAGCGTAAAGATTTTTTTGTAAATTTAAATTCAGAAAAAAGGAAAATAAAAATTTACCAAGAAAACATTGTCGTACAATGCGACTGGGATCATTTGATGATCGTCGAAGAAGTGGCGTTTGAATTGGACTCTGAAAATTTATATAAATCATTTCATTTCGAATATCTTAACATTGCGCACGAAAAATCTATATGAATAATTCATAAGCAGTTTCCGTTGTGAAAGAAAAAATGCTTTTCCATGCTTATTTTTGAAATCAGTATAGTAGTAAATAATCAGAAATTTGAAAGACCCTACAAAATTATAGAAGAGGAAATCACCAAAGTTCATTAATATTTGGGAAGTTAGGCTAATATATATCTAGTATTCAGGTTGCTAAAAAAGGTTGTTTTATTTCATGAACAACATCAGGTCAAATTATGACAGAATATATTCCAATGAAACAATACAGAGTGACATTTTTCTAACAATTTCACGAGGAAGATCCAAAGTATCCAGTTGAAATGTCGTCTCAATTTGGTACGAATGTTAGAAAATATCAACAACCAAGAGTGTACCTTTTTTTTTCGGATGAATTCTCTTTTTATTTAAATCATTTGCCGATAAATATAACGTGAAAACCTATGTGCATAACTATGTTTTTTAAAGAAAAATAAAGTAAGTGTCAGTTTTAAGTCGAGATTTTGAAAGGGACGGAGTAAAAACAACATTCATTGAATATATTTTCATAAAAATTGAGGACAATTGGCGTTAGAGTTCTTTTCCAGAGTGTCTCAGCAATGAAAAAGACAATGTGCTAAATAAAATGAACAGCAAGACTTAAGCTACTCTAGACAATATCAAAATTTTCCTTAGAATTCGAATAGTTGGAATACGTTTGTGTATGTTCTACAAAGTGCAGTTTTTTATTTTTGCACAGATAAAAATTTATATTCAAGATGACAAGGATGGCAGGTAATAATGTATTGATGTACGACACTCATCATATGATCAACATAAAAGATGTGAACTAAGCAAGTTAAATACTTTGGGAAAATATTCAATGTCCGTGTTTTTGCGCTTATCGTGATATATAATAGTACGTTGATATGTGCTGTAGATATAATGAATATGCACAACAAAATTATCCTCGGAAAACAATTAGTCTTCGAGAGATTTTTCAATTTGCGTATTTTGTATCAGTATAATGATGCTAATGAATAGATATGAGTTTCAGATTTTAGCTCGAAAAAGACGGTGTTGACAAAGCTTGTTTTTTATGTAGACTTTTCTTATGGACTTCAGGAACATCCTATATTTAATATCATAAACTTACTTTAGACCATTTAATAAGTTCAGCATAATCTTGCCATGTCCATTCTGATAAAAATAAATAAATTTCATTGAATTAGAAAAGAAATTTGACATTACCTGATGTTTTCCAACCTTTTTTCGATCGTCTTTTAGATATAAAAAAAAAAATAATCGAAACATTTTTTCAATAAATATTTTTAATATTTTTTACCGTCTATTTGGAATTTTAAAATTTTGTAGAGCAAATTCCATCATAGAATGTCCTGTTGGTAATACAGATAATGTTGGCAGTATAACATCATTTTTCGTTGGTTTTGGTGTATTAATTTCTACTGATGTTGATGGAATTAATTCACTAAATGTTTGACTATAACTCATTAAACTAGTTTGACTGGATGATTTAAATAAATCACTTGTATTTAATAATGGAGGTAGTGATAATTTCTTTTAAAGATAAAAATAGATAGATAAAAAAAATAATTTCGACTAATTTGTTTTTTCTTTTTTGTAATGTTTTGAACTTACATGATTACATACGTGAGACGGTTTGTTTCCATCCGTTCGAGATTCTTGTAAAAAATTTTCAATCATTTGTTTGATTCGTTGGATCTATTAATCATACAAATAATCTCAAAACGTAGTAAAAGAAAAATCAAAGTATAATTTCTATCATATTTGTCTTTCTATTGAGAAATATTTTTCGTAATCCAAAAAGACAATTTACCCGTTGTGAACGAATAGTAATATGCTTCTTCGCTAAATTTAAATCAATAGTTGAACCATTTCGAATTGATGAAATATATTGAATCGTATCAAATGGAAATGTTTCAAGTACTTGTAATGTATCTCTGTTAGTCGTTGTTCGACTTCGTTTAATTAATCGAATACCAGAATGTGATATACCTAACAATTGTTCTTCATTAAAATGAGATTTTATCGTCTAGAATTAAGAAGAATAATCATAAAAATTTATGTTATTATTGAATATATGTACAGTAATTGGAAAAAATCGACAGAAATATATTGACCATTGACGTGCTTGATCAATAATATCTTTCTTTGCTGATGATGTTTTTATTAAATGAATATCACCAATAGTTGCAACACCATGAGAAGCTAAACAGAAGAATTTTTTTAATGTTTTGCTTTCGTTTAAATTATTTTAACTTACATAAAAATATCTTCATATTTATTCGTTCTGCTTCGCTTATACGAACACATACTGATGAAAATATATCATGTACAATTTGTAAATAGAGTAATTCAATTAAAAGTGGTTGTTCAAATATTTCAGCTGGTGAAAATACCTATTTATTATAAAATAAATGCAATTAGATGAATGTTATAAATTTATATTCTCAAATTATGGTGTCTGTCGAATTATTTATACTGTAAGATGTCTTTTGACAAAAAACATATAAATTTTGCGTATATTAACAGAAGAAGATTATGAAAGTAAATTATTACATAAATTTTTATTAGTTAGTGAGGCTTAAAGAATAAGAACTATCATGTTCTAGGAATGACTTAATATATTAAGAAATTTTCTTGTCACCTAAGAATGCAGAAATCATACGTATGATAATATGTTCTCAGATAATTATGACCATAGAAATATCGATAATATTTTGCTTCTATATTATACTTTTACAATAAGTATCAATAATTAAAACAAACTATGAAGATTGACCATCAACTTACTTAAAACAAGCATAAGCGCTGATCTTTAGAACTAATAGCACATGAAACAGGTCGTCTACCCGTCATATCTTTTCTAAATTTTCAATAAAAGATTCATTTTTAGCAGGAACTATACGTATTGAAATATACAAATAAGTATCTTTGTCGCTGCACGATAATAAATGTTTCTTTTGTTCATTATTTTGACTAGACACAATCCTATATAATAATAGATGTCTCATCGTTCATTTTTTTTTATTTTGTTGGCTTAACTGTTTCATTAAATTAATTTTGCCATTTTCTCATCGGTTATTATTATTTTAAATGAATTATTTAATTAAACAGAGTTTTTTCTCGATGTTAATGTTTTCTTTTTTTTTTATAATCTTTTGTCGACCGATACATACTGTATTAAATCAATACATATTTCATTTCATTATACAAGAGTTCGTATCTTTCTTATGACGATAGTCTTTTGACTTCGAATCAATTATTCTTATAATCTTCTTATATAAGGAAAATACATAAGTAGACTAAGTCGAAGAAAATTAGGTCTATTTAGACATATTGATCTCAAATGATTACCTCTTTTCGAATTTTTAATTTCCATGGAATATTATTATATGTATAATAAGTAAGAGATTGTCTTGTTGATAATTTACTCGTATTGGTTTCATCAGTAAATTGTGCAAGAGGATCTAAATAAACGAAAATAAAAAAATTCATTTATAAAACATATATTATTAAATTAAGAAAAGAAAAAAAATTCAAAAAACAAATATCACGCCTGAATATGACTGTGAAATATCTTGTGTAATAGCAATAACAGAATCTGTGGTAATAGATGATAAATGATTATTAGTGTTATTATGATTATTATTATCTGTATTATCTGTTTTTATTAAAGATATTGGTGTTGATGTTTCAATTAAAGATGGTGATGTTGTTTGATTTGATAACCAAACAAGAACATTACTAAATTTTTTAACATCAGATATTTTAACAATATCATTTAATGATGATTCTCGATGAGCTAAATAAGCTTTTAATTCTTTAATATAACTTGGTGGTCGACGACGATATAAACGTTTTTTATTTGTAGGATTATTAAAATGATGTCGTCGTTTTGTACTTTTTATTGATGATTGTGTTAATTGTTCATGACTTGAACATGAATTTGTATTAAGTAATGTTTGATATGTAAGACGATCATAAATATCTTCTGAAACTGTTCGATCACGTATTGTTTGATTTATATCTTCTTCATCCATAATTGTTGGTAATATATTAGATATTGGTTGAAAAACATCTGTAAATGATATTGATAAATTAGATGTATTTTGACTAGTTGTACGCATTTGTTGTTGTTGTTGATGATGATGATGATGATTTATTTTTGAATTATGTGTTAAATCTTTATTTAAATCATTAATGAAATTTTCGAAATAATTTATTAATTTACCAACTTCATGATTAGAATCAGTACGCATGTCGTTTTTTCTTCTTCTATCGATTGATTGATAAAGAAAGAACGAGAGAAAAAACAGAAAAAGAAAACAGTTAATAGACTCATTATAGAGTCATGATCCTTATTGACATAAAGGGATAATCGCTGATTAAATAGAAAAGGATATATTCATACCTACAAATGATGATTTGTCGACATGTTCAAATAAATTTTTACGAAGTTGATAATTTTCTTTATCAAGCCTAAAATTAAGCTAGTTAGAAAACCAAAGACAAAAAAAGACAAACTTTGACTTTCAATACAAACATTAATGTTAATGGTTTTTGATTACAAACAATAATATCATTTGTAGATAGAGTATTATTATTATTAGATAATAGAATTTGTTTTTCAATAGGAACATGATCTTGTGTGATCAATGATTGTTCTACTATTGTTGTATTACCATGAATTTCTTCTTGAATACGACGTTGCACAAGCATTCGTCTTAAAATTAAAAAAGAAAAACAAATGATTTTTGTTTTATTTGAATTGAAATACAAAGAAAAGAAGACCTTTGTTGATTAGCATGGTCAATTTCGTCTGAATTGAGTGGTGGTGGCCAACGAACTTTACCAATTCGTACTGTTTTAGCTCGTAAATGTTTATAAGCTTCAGGTGAACGTCGAGTAAGAATATGAGATGGAACTTTAATATATTGTTGTCTATTAAAAATAAAATCATTTTTTCTATCGTATTTATATTATTGTATTTCTTATTTCAGATAGAAAAAAATCAAATAAAACAAAATGGTTCGAAAGGGTAAATAATAGACATCTGAAGTCAACATAATCTCTGAAGAACTGAGAGATCTATAAGAAATCAAGTTAATTCTAATCTAACTATCGCTTCACAGTTAGAGTCAATCATTATCCTTTGAATTCCTTGGCTTCCTTTAGTTCAAATACACTAAAGGTAGTCAAGGAATAAAGAATAATTATAGATGTCAAGAAAAAGTTACACTAGGATAACTTTCAGGGATCCCTTCAAAAGAAAAACTTTGTTTTCAAGCAGTCAGTCTTGATGAAATTTTCAGAATTGGTGTATCTCGAGTTAGACATCTCATGGTAAACATTTCAGCTCGATACATTGGTATATGAAAAGTTACCTTAAGATTATGTATCAAAATAAAAGTGTTCTTGCCTACCAAATTTCTTCGTAATTTCACATGCTAGGAAGTTCGAGTCGATTTTAAAATATAGAAAACAAGTATTGCTACTATTTAACAGAGCCGGATTCTTCCTATTTTGTTTCTCTCGAAAACTCTTTTGATCAAATGCGGAAAAATAAGCTCAGTAAATATTTAAGGGAGAATAGAAAAATTCGACTCTGTTAAGTTGTAGGGCTGATTTTTGCCTAGACTTTTTGATACTAAGCCATCAAGTAATTTGACGAAGATCACTGATTAGAACGCATATAAGAGTGTAGATGTGAGCATTCAGTGCTCTCATATCTATATTCCGTTCTGTGGTTTTTCGTATACGAGTATTGTATTTACTTATAATATTAAACGATGGATGATAACCATCATGTCCATCACTGCCAAAAGTCAACAGAGAAGATTCAAAGTTTTTAGACAAAACATTATTCGCTTCGATATGCGCGTTCAGAATCTAACGAGCTATAAATCATAAAATCAATAAATTTGACTAAAATAGACTTTTGCCTAAGATGTGGGAGAATCATTAATTTTTCGTGAACCTATGGACGAAGTTGATAATTAAGCAAACAAAAAGATTTGTCAAACCTTCGTGAATTATATACAGATTTTATATCATGATTCTTAATAAAAGTTCAATTTTATGAAAATATGAGAGAAGTATTGACGGAATATATTTTGAAATAAATAGTTTTCATTTTTCTATCATTCAAATATAATTAACAAGAATAATAATTCAAAGACTGGAATTAGATTATATTCCATATTTTTTCTGATTTATGGTAAATGCTCAATTAAATAATATTTTCATTGAATTTTTGAAAAAATTTTTCTATATTAAAATCTTTGATATATTGTTTTAACCGAAAATGTTATGTCTCAAAACGATGGCGTAAAATGTTGCTCTCTAAGAAAAATAGATTTAAGGAAAATTAATTTTCCAACGAGAAACATTTTATGTAAAATGACTAATATGTAAATGTTACGATTTTCATAAATTATTAATTTAAAGTTTATTTTACCTGTTATTTGTACTTGGATTATTTTTAGATATTTTTGGTTGTGGTTTATCATCTTTAGTTGGAATTAAACCGATCAATGACATTGAAAAATTTTCAACATAATTGTTTGATTTCGATAATGGTTGAATAAGTTCATTTTCTATTTTATTTTCTTCTATTATGGTTTGTGTATTTGTTGATGAAATAATTGGATTATTAGAAATAAATTGTGATATCATACTCAATGATTGAACTAGAATTTCTGTAGAAAAAAAATGCATTAAAAGTCAACCATAAAATATGATAACTGACAATATAATTTATTTGATTACTTATTATGATCGATCTGAAGTTAAATTATTATTGGAATTGTTATGTCAAACTAAACAGCAGAATTCGTTGGAATAAATTATATATATATATTTTCCTTCAATGAAAGAAAATCATTGTTTATAGTTGATAATTCCACTGTGAAGGTTTTTAGTAATTTATCTAAAATGAAAACATTTAGAAAATACACTATATTTTGATGTCGTTTAGCTTATTTAAATAAAATGTATAATTGAAAAGATAATCGAGAAATAAATAGTTCTTGTCTATCTTTATTCGATTTTTTCGCATTATTTTGAGCTCATAGACAGCTGTTTTTTTGGTGGATGGTATTTACATGAGCTTTGATCTAAGNATTGATAGACTGCCGAGATGGTAAGATTTAAGTTATTAGAAGATAGTTGTTGAAAATTTTGTTTTTTTCTTATATACTTAATAGGAGGTTTTCTTCAAATTCGAAGTGGTGAATTTGATCAAGTAGGTGAACGTTCACAATTTGATTCTCCAATACTTGATGCATTATCCGAAGATGGATGCGTTCAATTTCAATATAATATAGCAGGTAGTGATAATGATGGGTTAAATGTTTACGTTGAAGATTATTGGAGTGGTAATCAATCTTGTATATGGCATAAAAATGGATCAACTGTACCGAACCGATGGATGACAGCTGAAGCACCATTGAAATTAGAGAGAGATGGAAAATATTTAGTATGAGTCAGATATAAATAAATGAATATATGACTTTTTTTCTATGCTAGATTGTGTTTGAAGCAAGAAAAGGAAAAACTGGTGGATTGGGTTTAGTCTCGCTCGATCACATTATTGTCTCATCTAAACCATGTAAATGAGTTTACATGATTGTCATGATTCTTTGATATTATGTCATATATTGTAGGTTCCGGTACAAATCCAGTCGAACAATGTCCACCTGAAGAGGTGACAACAACCACAAGTATGATGACAACAAAATCTAATAAAGTCGAGATGAGCAAGATGCCGGAAATGCAAAATTTAAGCGAATTTTGTTTTTCATTCGTTTATATGTGATTTGATAGAGCTTGAAAAGCTGATCACGAATGTATACTTTTTATTTCGATTTAACCACTGTTCGGCGGAAAAAAACCTTAAAAAACTAGAAGAACTAAGAAAATGCCATTTTTACGTTGAATTTTTTTCTATAGAAATTGTCAGATTTTAATTTCAGTTATTTTTTGAAGGTGGTATATTTTGAATCAGCATGAAAAACTGAGTAGAAAAATGTTAATAGATTAGATTTCGACGTAATAAAACAAAAACATTCCTATTCGATATAAATAGGTGCATCAGGCTAAATGTATGTATCAGTGAACATTCATGTAAAACTATCTAGTTTTTTTGTAACAAGAGATAGAAGCAAGTGTCTTATCTCATTAGAATCGTCAGATAATGGGCTACAAAAGTTATTATTTACTTTTTTTTTGCGGAAAATTTTATTCTACTGTTGAGAAAATCGCATTTCTTTTCTGTTCGGCGCTAACATGAAGTGAAATGAAGAAAAATATGTTGATATTTAGTCATTTTTATTATCATGGTTTAGTCAAAAGGCAAAACAGACAGTATATTCGGAACCAGCGTCAAAAACTACATCGATTCATGTATGTTTTATCGAAGTTGATTTTTTGCGAAAAAGTGATCCGTGGAGGACCAGGGACAAAATTTTAGAAAAATGGACTTGAGGGGACCACAGGTCAGTTTTTCTTTGAAAACAAGCTTTACTAAAATGTATATGGTTCGATGTAGTTTTTGACGCTGGTTCCGAATATACTGTCTGTTTTACATTTTGACTGAACCATGATAATAAAAACTACTAAATATCAACATATTTTTCTTCATTTCGTCTCATGTTAGCGTCGAACCGGAAAGAAATTCGATTTTCTCAACAGTAAAATAAAATTTTCCAAAAATAAAAATAATAACTTGTGTAGCCCATTGTCTGACGATTCTAATGAGATAAGACACTTGCTTCTATCTCTTGTTACAAAAAAACTAGATAGGTTTACAAGAATGTTCACTGATACATACTTTTAGCCTGATGGACTTATTTATATCGAATAGGAATTTTTGTGTTTTATTACGTCGAAATCTAATCTATTAACATTTTTCTACTCAGTTTTCGTGCTGATTCAGAATATACTACTTTCAAAAAATTCAAAAAATAAGTGAAATTAAAATCTTACAATTTCTATAGAAAAAAAAATTCAACGTAAAAATGGCATTTTCTTAGTTCTTCTAGTTTTTTTAAAGTTTTTTTTCAGCCAAACAGTGGTCAAATCGAAATAAAAATTATACCTTCGTGATCAGCTTTTCAAGTTCTATCAAACCATATATAAACAAACGAGAAACAAAAGTTCACTGAAATTTTACATTTCCGGCACCTTACAACTGAAATAGAGACTACAGTTGATAAAAGTACTGGCATCAAAGTGACTTAAGATAATATTGAGACAATTAAAATTAACTTTAATACCATTGTAGGCACGATTTTTGATAATACCACTGTTACAATGAGAACAAGCGCTTCAACTATTGTTACAACGACAGCAAACATTCCAACTGCTACTACGTCGACTATTGTTACAACAACAACAAGCATTTTAACTGCTACCACATCGACTATTGTTACAACGACAACAAGCACTTCAACTACTTTCATATCGACTATTGTTACAACAACAAACATTCCAACTACTACCACAGTGACTATTCTTACGGTTCCTCAGACTACAACAACGATAGTAGAAACATCTACTAGTACGACTACAGCATCCATCTTATCTTCTAAAACTACAGTATCTTCAACGTCATATAGCACAACGTCAACAACAAAGGACAGAACTGATGTAGAACATCAAGGAACAACAACAATAGAAGCATTACCAAAGGAATCACCTGTTGTTGGTATTGTTGTGGGCACATTAGTCGGTGTTGTTAGTGTCATTTTGATTGTGAGTATGTATTTAAATCGTGATAAGTTACGTGCTCGACTCTCGCGAACATCAAACGGAACTCCAAAATTAATTCCTATATTTATAAATGATGATGAATCGGATGCTTACGTTCGGCTTGATCATACTAAAGAACCAGCCTCATCAGCCTAGATGAATGGTCAAAACGACATTAAATATTATTTTTTGTATAAAATCTTCTATTATTGATTTACTCTCAAACAAAAATAGAGAAATTACAACAAGTTTGTTTTCTAATTTTTTCATAATTAAAACTGGTTTTCAATTATAAAGTAAAAGATCAAAATTTAGTTTGAAACAGAAAACTAAAGATGAATTAATTTTAATATTGCGAAATGTACCCGTAATTCGTATGAGACAACTATATTTTATTTCTTTGTCAAATCCAGATGAAACTTATTTGATTGAAATCTTATCAAATAATAATTTAGTATGACTTTTCAAAAAAGACATTGACGTCAAATAATAACATCTTTAGCAGAATATTATCATACAAAAAAAGTAAGCCTCTTTTCCGGAAAAGCAACATTGTTTCTAAGTGTATGATGCCAATGCACTAGTTTCTCGGACACTACTTTCTCAATGATAGCTGCTCCTGTGATATTGAAGCATCAAACATGAGAGTGAAGAATGTGTATAGTGAAGTTTGGAAGATAACAAGAAAAAAAAAGAAAATGGAAAAGATGATGTTAATAAAAGAGAGCGCAAGTAATAATATAGAAAATTGCAATACATATAAAATAATACTAAAAAGAGAAACCAAATATCAAATGTCACTCGATTCGAAGTGTTTAGAATAATATGTTTTTAAAAAATGCATTTCGAGAGAAGATATCCATGAAGAAATGCCATGGATTTAGGTTCGATAGTTAATTACAATGTACATATGAGATTCATATTCACCTTTGTTTGATATATATGTGAATGAAAATGATACGAATAGAAATAAAAACGAGTAAAATAATCATCAAAATATTTGTACTAATATTTCTGATACTTGTACTTTTACTAAATTAAAACAAAAAATTCCCTCATAAGTTCTATATTGTTTGTTTTTCATGATGATATTCGCATGCTCTCTACTGTCGTTCTGTAATAATACATCAACTACCTTTACGTCTTGTCTTGTCAATGGCTCAACATCATTTTCTTCAAAGTTTATACTGCGGAATCCACAAATGTGGGTGACATAAATCAGAGATCTCAATATGTCGAAACGGGTCGAAGAAAGTCGATCCATGGATTATCAACCTTTGGCCAAGCTTAGCCTATGTTTTTTCCTTGAAAAATGGCACAGCTATGAGTTATTCATCTAATTGCATTGAATATATTATTAACACATAAATGAGCAAGCATATTTCGACTACAGTAGTTGATGTATAAATAAATGTTCGGTAATATATGTGACAACTTTCAAAACCTTTAATTTTCTCGAATTCACCAGTATTTCTTGAGTTTTTAGTTGGAAAACCAAAAACTTCGCAACATAAACATATGTTTGCTTTTTCATGTTTAATAACAGCATATGTCGATGATTGTTGTTTCAAAAGAAATTTGATTCGTTTGAATGTATACTGTTTTGTACGTGATGATGAACCAGCATCGATAATTAAAGGAAAAGTAATTGATGATAACGTTGTAATTGTTGACGAACGAGGAGAGCTAGATAAAGACATTTTATTGAATATGAATAAATTCTTTAAAAGTGACGACAATATTATCTTTTGCTTTATATATTTTCTGTTTATTAATGAAATGTTTTAGCCAATGGAAGAATTATATGGGATTCTCGAAAAAAAACTCAATCGAAATACTCTATATCTTTTCAAAATTTATATTTTATTCAAGATTCGGTCCATGAGCATCCATCATAATTTCGAATTAGACCGGTCTAACTATGGTATTCTATCCTAAAAAATTTCAGATCATGAACCAGGCTCGACCTGGTCCATTCAGAGTTCTGACATGAATATCAATAAGAGCACCCACGCTATATTTAATTCTCTTGTTTTTTGATGATGCTAATGATTTTTGTTACTTGAATTGTGAGTTACTATTATTTTGGAATGAGTATAAATAAAACAACTTGATGCACTTCGCTGTTGTTAAATTCGATTTAAAAAACTATAGTAATTTAGCATTAAATTCAGAATAAGGAGTGACTTGTTTACTCACTTATTCTGTAATAACGTTTTGTTTTTTTTACGACTAGATTTCGATATTAGCAGGAAGGATCTTTTCTCTAGTCGCTATGTTCAAAATTATTGTTCGAAATGCTTCTATTTACAAAGCAGTTGTATTGTCATGATACGTTGATAAAATATCTTGATATGAATATTTTATTTCATTTATCTATTTCATTAATTTCACTGTGCATCTCGACATTGCTTGTCTTTGTGTAGCTTTTCTTTTCTTTTATCTGCTATGATTTGAATTGATGATGATGATTCCTTTCGCTTGCGACTAACATCCAGACGAAAACCTCCATGGCCACGATTACAACTACTACTGTCAAGATCAATGTTCATTTCTTTGATAACTAAGATAATAAGAGCGGTGATATAAATCTCTATTGAGAGATGATCGCTGCTGTGCATAAGTACATATAATAAATTTGTAAAACTATAATAAACGCTGAACAGTAAAATAAAAACATCGCGATGAGGAAGAGACTACCACACATAAAATGAATAAATATTTATATTAGTTCATAACTGTCACTTTTGCAATAGAGTTAATTGTAGCTGGTGGCGTTCTCAATAGAACCCAGTGATGTCAATCGCAGCTAGAAATATGCTACTGTTGCAATGGTTCTTGAGAAATTTTTCAAAAATCTCTTCCGTTACTGTGATAAGTTAGTATGGTTAGATTGAATCCATCAGATTCATCACGATTCTGACTATTGGACTCATAGATACTCAAATCAAGTGCAAATTCATACAACCTTACAATCTCACTGAAAAACAGAAGTTGTCGCTGTCACACCATTGACGCCACCATGGGCGTCCTTGACATAATCATAACAACAATAAATAATATCTTTCATTGCTTACATAAGATACAAAAGAGCAAAAAAAAACAGTTAAACTATAAAAAAATCAAGTTTTTATCCTGAATTTGAAGTTAAAGTACTGTAGCAAGATAGTTTACTAACTGTGTAGGATCTCTTGTCCTACCCTGTGAAGCAGAGAAAAGCAGGACAGTATACTTTTTTTTCGTCTACCTTTTTTTGTCAGCAAAGCAGAGCAGAATGTGATGCAAAAAAATAATTGTGTGTCCACCTGTGTAAAATACACGCTTTTTTTTTTTGGCAATTCTATTCATTGAATGACTCGTTCTTCTTTCTTCCCCGCATATAATAAACATAACATTTCGACGAAAAGAAAGAAAAAAGAAAAATTGACAAAAGTACACGTTAGCAAACAAATGTCGGGCATATTTTTTCATTTGTCTCGAACATATACATCAATGATTTCACGAAAACGTTTCAAACGCAATTTAACATCATTCGAAATTTTACCAAATGAAATTTTGGTAGAAATTTTTAGTTATCTATCTGATGTTGATACTGTATATGCTTTCTCACGTCTTAATAAACGTTTTCAATATTTAATTCTTAATTGTTGTTATACATTTGATTTTAAATCAGTAAATAAAACAAAATTTACTTATGTTATTCAACAACATGACATGTATCGATGGCAATCATTACGTCTTTCTGATGATGACAATACACCAGGTCAAGTAACATACTTTTGTCAATTGTTTTCATTGACTGAAAATATCTCTCAATTGAAATCATTATCTATTATTAATATAAAACCTAATAGTGTATCGTTATTTTTATCATATTTAACATTATTTACTCATCTCGTTTCATTATCAATTGGATTTGTTTGTGGAAAGACTATTCCATTTATTGAATTACCTACATTAAAATATCTTGTTATCAATTCTTGTATGCATAGCAATTGGATGAAGGTATGAAATTGGTACATGAATTCATATAATATAACAAATATCAAATATTATCATGTTTCAGAACCTTCAACTCAAAAGTCTTCAGCATACTATGGAACATCATTGTAATCATGAACACAGTTTGATATGGCCAGTAACTGTAAAAAAACTAAAAGTCTTTTTTAGACGAGCAGGTGATAATGAAATTGTACGTGTTTCACTTAAAAATTTATCTCAGTTAACTAGTCTTTCTATATATGATGCTGCATGGGAAAGTTCAGCACCCGATGGTCAAATATGGGAAAAATTAATAACATCATCAATGCCATTATTAGATAATTTTGAATTTTATTTTAAATTTTGGAGAGATTTTAATTTAACTAGTGATATGAATCGAATTGTATCAACATTTTCTACTCCATTCTATTTACAAGAAAAATCTTGGTTTATTCAATGTGATGCTCATCGTCGACAATTTAGTATAGCTATTCTTTATTCTTTACCATTTGCATTTGAACATTTTGAAATAGTTACACATTCATTTGATGAAAGTATTTCAACATTGAATATATGTTCTAGTAATGATTTAAGAATGAATTTATATAAAAATGTCAAAAAATTAACAGCTAATGTACTATGTGAGAAAATTAATAAAGCATTAATTTCAGTAAATATCATTGATTTAAATTTAAAATTGTTTGATACTTCAATGGATTGGATATTTACAATGACTCACTTATGTCAATTATCATTGGGACATCAATTTAATATGTCGTCTAAAGATTTTATTCGTTTGCTTAAAAATACTCCTTATTTACGTTCGTTAATTGTTCCATATCATATATTAAAATTATTAACAAATGAATGGAAAAATAAAACACTTTGTGAATTATTATCAAGTAAAATTCGTTCATTAGAAATATGTTCAGATGGTTGTTTTTTAATGAATATTCATGATTATGTAAAAGTCGACGAACTTCTTCCTATTATTCGAGTTTTTAGTAAACGATGTCGAAATTTAAATATTACTGTTTATTCAAGAAATATTGTAGTTGGACTTATTTTGAGAACTATGCGGCATTTACGTAGTTTAAAAGTTTGTTTACAAGAACATTGTGTTGATCGAAAGATTACAAAAGAATGGTTGGTAGAACAAGATAAAACATTGAAAAATCTAGATTGTTTTATTATTGAAAATGGAAATGAGTATTCATTTTGGTTCGGTCGTCGACAATAAAATATATATTCAATTTTCTTCATATTACGCATACTAAAAATGAAATGATTTGTTAATTTCTTCTATACTAAACGAGATTATATTGTTCATATCTCATTTTAAACATGATATTATTTTCAAATTATATGTTTGAATAAAAAGTCATCATAAACAAAGTGTACATAACTTCATCCTTCATATCAAGGACATTCTATGATTTTGATAATTCTTCTATGTTTTGTTCATAACAGAGAACGTCACAGGACGGTTTTTTTCGTCCTGCCCTGCATTTTTGCAGGACATTATCAAACATTATCCTGCTTTTCAGGACGGATTGCAGGACATAAAAACCTTCGTCCTGGCAGGACACACTTGCAGGACAAAAAGTCGTCCTGCATCCTGCCTGCAGGACGAATTTTTGTCCTGCAAGCTTCAAAAAGGTAAAATATTATCCAAATATGAGATGTGATGTCAAGCAACCTATAAGTACTCTTTTTATAGAAGTCACTTATAATGATCTTGTTAATTAAGGGGGGCCCTCCCCCTCAGAAACCAACTTTGTTATTTTTCATCCGATTTCAACCAAAATTTCAGAGAATGCTAGTCTTGACTAGAATAGATTATGGTTAAAATATCTCCCGAAATCTGCGAGCCATTCACGAGTTATAGTCAATTCATTGGTCAAAAATACCCTTTACGCGGGCAAGGTTTTCAACATGAGGATACTAGCTAAGCATGTCGGCGTGGTTTTTAAATTGTAGAGTGCCCCTAGGGCTAGGTCGTAATAGAGCCCGATTTTTTAATTTCCCTTTGTTTGGTTTTTAAAAAAACATTTTCGAAAAATTCTCAAATTTGCGGCCAAAAAATCGCTAATTAAAATCAAAGATCTAAGTTTTTTATTTAAACAAAGGAGAAATTCAAAAATCGGGCTCTATTACGACCTAGCCCCACCTGTCTTCTATGCAATAAAAAAAAATTACCACTTTTATATTGAGTCATTATTAAGCAAGGCTTGCCCGCGTAAACGGTATACTCGAAAAAATTGATTTTGAGAAAAACGAAAAATAAGTATTAGAAATCGATTTTTCGGAAAATCACCTGATTTATATATCAGTGCTCAAGACAGGCTATAAATATGTGATCTTAATATTAAGTTTTAATAGTCTCGTAGTGATTAGTATAAAAATAAACTTTACGAAATGCTGATGCAAAGAGAAAGAAGTCTAAAAAGTCAAAAAAGCTTGAAAAAAAACCATGAAAATTTCTCGAAAAATATGATAGTAGAAGCCAAGTTTTAGACGATAAGTTCGTCAAAATCAATTCATTTTTTGATAAATCATAGATATTCTGAAAGAGGAGACTTCGGTGCATCTTCCTATGATAAAACTTCAATTTCGACTCGTCTCCGAGAAATTGGATTTTCTGAGGGGGGGGGCCCTTAATGTATCTGATCATTGCTGAGTGTTTAATAGCTATAATATATTTTCAATTCATTTTATTTGTAACAATTCATTCAGTTCAAGCTATTTTCGTTGTATAACTTTGAATTAGTCTTGACTCACATTATTATCTCGTACCATCTAGTCCCATTCGAATCAATTCAGTAGCGAACTCTTGTCGATAATTTGCTGTCAAAAGCAGATTTATTCATTGTTTCGTATTTGCCTTCAATGTTCTCACTTTGATCTGACTAGTACATTGCTCAATTTTCTATTCGAACAGAATTCTCTAGATTGTATCATTTGAATTTTTTACCAATACTTGAGTGTCGGCTTTCTTTCAGCTAAAACAACGCGTTGAGCATGTTTGATGTGAGAATTGATCATCGTTGTAACAATTCAAAATACTCTGAATTGCTATTTTTCTTGGACTTCTTTCGGTTTCAGTTCATGACGCAAATGAACTACAAAATAATTCAATATTTCTACATATTATAGAAGAGACTTATTTGAAGAATCTACCAGAGTTTACAAGTGTTCAGCACTGTTAACATAGATGCGGGTATTCTTCCATTAGGGAAGATCCACACCCACACCCTAAATGAACGATTTAAATATGATGACTTGAGAGATATTGATCTAAATGATTTTGTGTTTTTCTTATACCTCGATAACATAAAGTTTGATATTGATATTGAAGTAAATTTGGATAATAAATTAAGATTGTAACAATATGAACTAGACAATTTACCCGATGATAATTTGATGGAAAGTCTTTTGTTTTATCGAAATATTGTAATATTTATTGGACCAAATGTTTATTTAATACTTTATAAAGAAATTTGTTAATGTATAAGCTTTTATAAAATATGTTAAAGAATTTTGTTTTTCTATAGCTTCTTTGAAATATGCTTCGATTGTTTCAATTTGTTCACGAGTGATTTGATCTTCTGACTTGCTTGTAACATCACTTTTATTGATCAAATATTCACTTAAATAATAATGAATAACTTCAGCTAATAATTTTGATAGTAAATGATGATTATCATAGATTTTATATAAATCAATAGCTTGACGAAATTCACGTCGTTTTCCAAGGAGATCTCTCCTACTACTGACCGTTCAATATAATCATAATGAAAATCATTATTTGAAAATAACTTCCGATGTTCTACAAATAGCTGTTTTATATCATCTATATATGAGTCACTGCACGAGAGCCACAATCGATATCCCATACAGCTGCTCAATCGATAGTTTGAGATCTTGATGAAAGTTACCCCATTTTGTAGAGCTATTTGTTTTAGGTATGCAGCCAAATTTTTAGATCTAACGAATTAATTTTAGCTGACAATGGAAGGGTTTTGTGTTTTTAGTAAAGAAGATTAGACATATTCTGGTCAAATTAAAGCTCTCGCAACCAAACTAACAAATTTAAAATTTGAGCTGCTGTAGGCGTGCATCGGCTGAGATATTCGAATTCTAAGATATTTACAGTATATATAAGGTGCTCACAACTCAAATTTTCAGCAGAGCTTTTTCTTCTTTTTTCATGATGGTTGGATAGAGCTCATCGAGTTACATAAGAGAATGCATGTTTCAAATGGAAAATGGAATACTTTACGGAAGTCAGAATTTTGGGCCTATTTTCTCTTATATTTCGAAAACGGTGATACTTTGCACTTTCTTGTGAAATATTCTGACTTTCGTAAAACATTCCATTTTTAATTTGAAACATAGATTTTCTTATGCAACTCGATGAGCTCTATCCAAACATCATGAAAAAAGAAGAAATAGCTCTGTTGAAAATTTGAATTATGAGCACCTTATATATACTGTAAATATCTTAAAATTCGAATATCTCAGTCGATGCACGCCAACAGCATCTCATATTTTAAATTTGTTAGTTTGGCAGTGAGAGCTTTAATTTGACCAGAATATGTTTAATCTTCTTTACTAACAACACAAATCCTTCCATTGTGAGTGTCAGAATTTGGTGTATTGCGCTTCTGTCTTTCGTAAATCCTGCCTGTTCCTCTGAGAGGTGGGCTCGAGTTGACTTTTGAGCCTGTTTAGCAGCACACTTAGTAGTATATTTCCTGTACGGTTGATGAGAGAGATTGTTCGGTAGTTCGCACATTCACTGAGATGTTCCTTCTTTGGTATTGGTACTAGGATGAATTTACCCCATTCTTCTGGGATCGTACCTTCGTGCCATGTTTTGTTACAGAGTTCGTGGATTCGTTGTGCTAGCTGCTCTCCTCTCGCTTGTATCATTTCTGCTGTGATTGCGTCTGGACCTGGACTTTTGTTCCTTTTTAGTGCATGTATTGCTTCTGCTACCTCGGAGTATAGTATTTCTTGAGGGTCATCGGTGTTCTTAGGTGTGATTTTCTCAAGTTCTTTTACCCTTCTATCTTCTTCTCCGTGGTCCTTGTATAGACTGCTGCAATACTCTGTCCATCTTTGTCTTATTTCTTCTTTTGACTGTAGCATTGTGCCGTCTTGGTCTCGTATCACATTGATTCGAGGCGTGAATTTTTCTCGTAATATTTTTATTAGGCTGTATGCTTTTCTGGTATTTCCAATTTTTAGATCCTTTTCAACTTCTTCACATTGCTGCGTATCCAGTGTTCCTTGTCGTGTCGTGCTGCTTTCTTGACTTTCTTGCAAACGTCTTTGTATCGCTGCGTTTTCTGTAGACGTGTCTTTCATCTGCTTCAGTTTTCGCTTTTCGTCCGCTAGGTTTAGTGTTTTTTCGGATATCTAGGGTTTCCTGGTTGCTTTCCTAGCAGGTATCGTTGATTCTGTTGCTTCTTTGATTGCTTCTTCAATTTTGTTGCGTGCTCGTCTAGGTTACTTGCTGGTAGGATTCTTTTTATGTTTTTCGCTAGTTTACCACTGCAGATTTGTCTTATTTTCTCGTTGCATAGTTGACTCACGCCGACTCTCTGACTTTGGCATCTCCTATTGTACATTTTCTTGCGTCGTAATTTGATATTACGTAGTATTAGCGAGTGGTCTGAGCTGATGTCTGCACTCTGAAATGTTGTACAGTTGATGAGCGATGACTTCCATCTTTGTTGGATGAGGACCAGGTCTATCATATTCTTGTACACGCCATCTGGTGATGCCCACGTCCACTTTCGCTTTGGTTTCTGTTCGAATCTCGTATTGCATATGTAGAGATTGTGTACTGTTGCAAATTCTAGGAGACGTTCTCCACTTTCGTTTCTGTCTCCGTTTCCGTATTTTCCAATGACTAGTTTCCAATCTGTATTATCACTGGCAACCTTTGCATTTCAGTCACTTGTTATGATGACTATGTCCTTTTTGTGTGCTTTTTCTAGTGCATTCTTGATATTGTAGTAGAATACTTCGACATCCTCGTCTGAGGGTTAGGAGGTTGGTGCGTATACGGGTATTACTGTGATCTTGAACGGTGCTGCGTTGAATCTTGCTCGGATTATTCGCGAGCTGACTGGATTGTATCCTATGAGTGCTTTTTTAGCTCTTGTATTTAGTAATAATCCTACACCTATTACATGTGTGCTGTCTTCACTCTAAAAAAAAGGAACTGTACGGAGCCTCAAAAAAGGGTTCGGTAGATGACAAAAAGCTTGCAAATGTGTTCAAAGTTTCAAAAAAAGAATAAAAAAATACACAGAACCTTTAAAGGATCTTACCGTGTACCCAAGTGAAGATCCTTTTTTCTTTGAA